ACCGCCATGCTGCTACCAGCGCTCTGAGATGGATGTCACCATGATTAAATCTGCCCTGAAACACAGTCTGTGTGTAGTGTGCATCTGCGTGACTGCGACTTGACGTGTGTGTTTGCATCCACCCAAGTTCAAGTTTGTGTGTATGTGTGTGTGTGTGTGCACGCGTGCGTGCGTACGTGGGTGTGTGTGTGTGGGTGTACACGGGTCTCTAAGCATCCAGACTGTATTGCAGTAGGGTTTACCTCTGCCCCTCTCCTCCACACACTCATCAGTCACTCCACACCAACTCATCTCTCTCCTCCCGCCTCTCCTTTGAACCTGCACTCAACGCAAAACAAACGCCTGCAGTGACAGCTGTACAAGTGCTGTGTGGCATGGCTCAAATCTGATCTTTTCCCTGCTTCTGAAGGGAATATTATGGCTTTGTATTTGCTTTTGTGAAAAAAAAGATCACATGCAGGAAATTGAAAGCAGGTAACTGTAGTGATGCAGGTTCCTTCCCTTGATTGTTTACACCATGTTGAAGCAGCTGAATCATGTTGTGCTCTATCAGTGATGCCGGCGTTCCTGTGGTCAGTCAGCTGTTAAAATACAACAAATTATGTTTTAAAATCTGGCCTTTATTTAAGGGCTCCTCAGCAGGCATTACAAGACAACATGGACGATATGGAATCACTAAAAGAATAAAAATAAAAATTAGAATAAAAAATAGAAATTATTTCAATTTCAAACAATATTTTCTTGTTTTTGAATAAAAACAGGAAGTGCAGGGACTTTCTGAAAGTTAAGATTCCAACTCTAAAATTCAAACTACCAAACTGTTGGCTTAGCTTAATCTTTGCATTATCATAACAAAATATTATTGATGGTTGTATAAAAAGATTCATCTGTATGGGTCTGTATCACTGCTGAGACAATTAGTCGATTGACTGACAATTAATTTTACAGCATTTTAAATAGTGAATTATTTGTTGTATTAAGCAAAAATGTTAAACATTCCCTCTTTCCCCTTCTCCAACATGAGGAAATTATGTTTTATGGTAGCTGAATATAATCATGCGTAATATGTCCATACACACATACACACACACACACACACACACACACACACACACACACACACACACACACACACACACACACACACACACACATATATTCTTTCTGGAAGAAAGAACACTGGGCAGAAATGGACATTGGACATAGCTCAAAATGGCAACATTAAAAATGGAAGGACAGCCGAAGTCAGCAACAGAACTGCATGAATGATGGATATATTTTTGTTGTTATTATTTCATCCTGAAAATGTTTTACCAATACAAATTGAACTGAAAATAACACTGCCGGGCTCTAGATTTCAGAGCATCTTAACAGCCATAAAAGTCGAGAGCGTTGTCCGTATTTTCCCTTGTTTTCTCTACGTTTATATTAACACCAAGGACTGAACGTTTGTCAGGATCCAGCAGATTCCTCTGGAAGGTGTTGTGACAAGCGGTGTGGTGGTGGTAGTGGGCTTCCCACTGTTTTGTTCTAATAAGCAAGGAGCGGGACCAGGGTTGTTGTGACATCCTGTCAGCCTGTGGGCTGGACTGGCGCTCACTGAGCACCACAGTAGGATGGACTCCCTATGATTGTGCACTGACCTTTGCATCATGGGGAAGATGACAGGTAATTTAGAGGCCTCAGGGACTGTGGAACCATACATTTGCTGTCCCCAAACCACCTGCAGCACCAACCACATTCACCTTGAGATGGAGGCAGTATATTCATGAACACTGTGTATACACACACACACACACACACACACACACACACACACACACACACACACACACACACACACGCACGCATACAGACCTACACATGCTAAAAAAAGAGAATTAAATCACATGCTGTGTAAACCCAGGCACAGATGCATATGCAGCCATGCTCCGAGCATCACACACTTATTTGCTCACACACACAGTGCAAGATCTGCCTTGACACCCGCCCAACACCCCCATCATCATCATCATCATCATCGTCATCATCATCATCATCATCATCATCATCATCATCATCATCACACACTCTAATCACCTGCATCATCCCAACCTATCCTCAAACAACCAAATCACAGGGGGTGGCAAACTGGTAAGGCAGAGGGGGAAAACGATGATTTAGAGTGATAATTGCATAATCACCAGTTGTGATAATTGTAATTGATGACTGCATAATTGCTAATTGCGCTCTTTATGGGAACCTCTCTTTTCTGTTGTCTCCCTGTCTCTCGCTGTATGTCACTCAGAAGCCCTTCACTCTTCTTCCCCGATTACATTCTGGATTTGTTCCTTCACTTATTTCTCTTTCTTCAACACACGCTAGCTTGTTCTCTCTCACACACACACACACACACACACACACACACACACACACACACACACACACTCGGATGCACACACAGAAACTCACTAGCGTGTACTGTAAGTATTCTCAAAGGCTTATCAGTAAGTATTTCCCAGCAGTCTTGTCCCAGAGGCTGTGCTCTGCCCACTCTGTTGCGGCGTGAAGAGTTATGGAGGAGCGCTAACAGGTTTCCTTTGTCTCTCTCTTGCTACTCTGCCCCAGGCTTTACTCCTGCTTGTAAAATCAACCTGCGGCCAAGCCCATTCCCTCGGTAGCCATATCCTTTATCACAAAACGGGTGAAAACAAAGAATGCGCTGTGAGCCAAAGCCAGGGCCAGAGCCATATCTCGCAGCCAAAAGAGGAGGAGAGATTTGCCAGTTGTAGTCCGTCCTCAAGCCGTACCGCTCTGTTCAACAGCCCAGTCTGCTCGCATCTGTTAGTATGAGACTTCTGCCTCTGAAATCCCATGTGCTTGGCTGGAGGTGGATTAGCATGGAGATGAAGATGACTCCCTGATCAGCCCATATTATGCACGACACCTCAGAGTGCTTTGACGATAGCAAGGGTGGGATGGTGGTGGTGGTGGTGGTGGTGGTGGTGGTGTTGTGGGGGGGTATCTATACGCGTAGCGGCCGCCAACATGAGAAGGCATCAGGCAGCTGTGTGATTGATGTCTCTGCTAGCGTCTGTAGGCAGGTTAATGGTGTGATTGTGGAGGTAATCTTCGTGTTCTCTCGTTAAAGGATGATGGAGGGCCAGGAGACCCTGTGTGTCTCTGGGAAATGGAGCCCTAGCTGTTGCCTTCACAGGATCTCAGCCTTTTTTAACATATGCAGTCGGGAACCTCATTTGATGTATACGCTTCAGAGGAAGCCGGGCCGGCCAGCCACACTGCCAGCGAAAAAGTTGATGACTAGCGGTGGGTTCAGCCACCCTGCTGTAGCGGCTGTGTTGGTTCAGGTGTAAACTCGGGTTGGTAATAGTTTGTCTTGGTGACACAAAGTGCTGTTGGAGGTTTGCTCATTTTCACGTCGGAGAGTGGAGGTTTGTTATTAGCTGAAAATGAGCCCCGGGTCACCAAATTGCTGCTCTTCACAGTAAAAAGGAAACACACATAAAAAGAGCCTCTCATCAGTGTGCATGAAACAAACCTTGGCTGAACCAACACTAGCTGTTGATGCACTCATAACCCACACATAGAGCTGTGAACTGTGTTTATGTGGCTGCTGTGCTTCACACATTTTCACTGTTTGTGAACCAACATGGGTATATTAACGTCATGTCCTGGAAGGGATGGGGGGGAGGTGGGTGGATGGAGGCTGGTGGGAGTGGGAGTGGGGGGGTTAAATTGGGGTATAGCTGAGTGAAACAACAGCATAGTGAAGCAGGGAGCTGGCTGAGAGCTGCAGACTATTGCATCTGTATTGATTGGGCTCCAGCCTTTTCCATTTTCCATGAACTCCTCTGAGCTCCTCCAAGTGGGAGTGATGGGGGGATTTGCTTGATCTTTATGATATTTCTTTAAACATGATGCTGTCGTTATGCCTCCCCGGGGAAGACGCCAGCCATTTCCAGTAAATCAAAGGCTCTCTGTCCCTCGCTGTTTTCCACACACCTTATTTATAACCCCACTAAACAGCCCCAACACACCACCTCCACATCCACCACCATTCACATAAGTGTTTTTCAGCCTTTTGCGAAATGAATGTTTTTCAAGTGCAGTCATGCCGATGAGGAAGAGCTCGGCTCAGCCATAGCATGCACTCGACCCTCGGTTGTGGAGTCCATCGAGCCGGTCCGACAGAGGCTGTAATCAACAGTGACAGTAATGACATAGACAATAGATGACAATAATTTGAATTCCGTCTGCTCTTGGACTGGGGGGTCATTTGGACGAGCCTGATCTGATTTAGTGTTGCAGAAGCAGAAGACGTCGAGAAGCAGCCACGGCGCGTCCTCTGACTTACAAACAGGCCCGAGGTCTTAGCAGGAGCTGGGAGCAGGATAACCCACATACCCACTAGTGCAGGTGCCCTCTCCATGGGGCCAGGTGGTGGCTAATTCGCTTTCTTTGTCCCTCCTAATGAATCGTTAATTGGTTTGCATCACCCACTGAGCTGAGGATAGCAGGTGCCGAGTGCTGCTGGTGATGGAGGCCACTGTCACTGGCGAGCCTCCCCACGCACGCCGGCACCTACATTTAACAGGCCAAATGTCACTTCGCAACATGCAGCAGCTTGGCGGTTAAACAGGAAGGATATCGCCACAGTTTACGCCTCGTTTTTGCAGTCGTCGAGTGCTTGTGTAGAAAAACACAGCCTCGGAATTGGTTGATCTACACACTGCACTGTATTTTTCTGTTGTACATACAAGATATAGTGCCAAGGCATGCCGGGGTGTCTCACTTATTGGCAGAATGCTGTGAGCTTGACCTTTTGCTCTTGTTTCTATTGATTCAGTGTTAGCTATTTAAGATTTTAAGCATTTTTTTACTTTGTGTAAAAGCATCAATTGAACACCTGAAATGTAAAATATGCCGTGCGTTGTGAGTTATGATAAATGCCAGCATTATATCAGTCCATGTTTACCTTAATGGCGTCTCCTCCTCTGCAGGTGGTTGCTCTGAACAAGCGCAGTAAGGAGGCAGAGTCTGCGTTCCTTGGAATCTACAAACAGCTTATCGAGGCCCCAGGTGAGTCTCCCACTAAGACCAGACATGTGCATCTCCACACATTACTTCTAGAATTATCTTTCTCCCTTCAAAGATCACTCCCTGGAGATCAATCCTCCATCATACTTATACCAGTATCACTGGACCAGCCTTCTAAGTATACACACAGAGCCACGTCATGTATGCATGAAGCAATGCACACAACCCAAAAAGTAATTTTCTTTGCCATAGATGGATATGGTGCAACAGCACATGGATATAAGATAAATAAAACCCTATACCCTGTGGCTCTTATCTATTTTTCAAAGTATGTGCTCTCAGAGAGGTTTCCAAAACTCTGCGTGAGGCCACTTCAAAACCCAGCTCTGGTCCTTGAGTGTAGCCTGGCTGAGGAGCGAACATATCCTTGAGGAGCTCTGCTGTTGATTGTGGAGGGCCAATTAAAATCCCAACTGAAGTCTGGCTTCGTGTGGAACGCAGGCCTGATGAGGCCAATGGGGGAAAAGGGAGAGAAGGGCAAAGACAGTTAAGTTAGAGCAGAGGAAAGACATATTGTGTGTTTATTCAGTTGTTATTTCAGTGCCAGGGCACATGTACTGTATTGCTCTTTGTTGCGGGAGACGGCAGCAAAACGCAGCCCAATCTCAGTCTAGATCAGAGAAACACTTGTGGCAGGAGTAGAGAATGCTGTTTACAGATTCAATGAATACAAGATAAAAGTCTGCATCAGAGAAATAGCGACAGCAGCAACTGACTTTTAAAGGTCTCCATTTTTCCTTGAAGTCCCCTGCTTGATATTGCGCCGCAACCACACACACACACACACACACACACACACACACACACACACACACACACACACACACACACACACACACACGCACTTTGAATAGAGTTATTTCCTTGATAAGAAATACCGTTCTTTGAAGATGTTTTCAGCTTGATTTTCTGACCTATACCTTTAATATCAAGGCCTTAATTCAAGCCCGGGAGCGTCTTGTGGGATATATTTTGTCACGAAGCCGCCTCAAGTAGAGAATGGAGTCAACTAAGAGTTGTTTTGTAAAAGAACAAAGACTTTAAAATATAAAGAGAAGCCACTGTCACCCAACATCAACTCTTATGTGAAAGAAAAAAAACTGCAGTAGCTTTTGTTTTCAATATGCCTGATATTTCTTTCCCTCCCTGTCTCTTTATATAGAGTGTATATAAATTCACAGTGAGTCTATGAGTGGTCATTATATTGAGTAAACAGTAGTAGACCTTCCTGTGTCAGGTTACATCAGGTGATGTAGCACTGCCAGCCTCCTACCTCCATTTGACCTTACCTTTACAAAGGGAGCCTGTTTCACTGTGTCACTGGGACTCATACAGAGTGAAGCTGGTTGTTTTCTTTCTCAGCAAAGGTCAGAGACTTATTGTGATATGAAACAGTGCTGGGCAAGTAGCTTGAAAAAAGTAATCAATTCCTTATTATTCTTATTAATCATAAATTACATTAGTTTAATAATGTACTAATTAGAAAAAAAAAGAAAGAAATTGCATTACTTTATTAATAACTTAGGGTTAAAAGGTGCCTTCTGACATCTCCAAACCAAAGACACTGTCATCCATCAGCTGCCTGTTTTGAGTTGACCATCAACAACAATCTTAGTCCAAAGTCCAGAAGGTCTCTTTGAACAAAACCAGCTGATTCCTGAACACAGGGTTACCATCGGCTAATATAAACTAGCTAGCTAAGAGGACAAAACATGTGGAAAGTGTATTCCTTCGAGATCAGCGGAGAGTTGGTGAAGTGGGCAACAGCCCCAGGACTCCAGACTCTCAGGTGCAGCAAAAGTCCCAGGTTCACGACACGTAACTCATATTTTGGTGATGCGGTTCACTGCAAATTTACACCACCTAAGTAAAATATCAAATAAGGTTGTTTTATGGCCCATATCTTGTACAGGGAACAAGTGTCAAAGTCAAATATTAGGACATAAATAACTTCAGTTATTTTTTTAATCACATGGTGCATATATCTAGATAATTTTATATTTAATCCAATACAAAAACAAAGAACAAAAACAAATTTAAAGCCACAAAAACCTAGTGTTGTTAGAGAATAGATTATCAGTGGGTCTATGGGCCTTTGGGCAAACACTGAAGTTGGTTTGAGTATTTTTGAAACTGCTGATTTCCACACGCTCAGAATGGTACAAAGAACATAAAACATCCAGTGAGCAGTCTCTCTGTGACGGAAACAACTTGTTGATGGGAAAAGTCAGAGGAGAATGACCAGACTGGTTGGAGCTGAGAGAAAAGTCTACAGTAACTCAGATAACCACTCTGTATAACTGCGGTGAGCAGAAAAACTTCTCAGAATGATCAACACATCATGGGCTACAACAACAGCAGAAGACCACACTGGGTTTCACTCCCGTCAGGAATAGAAATCAGAAGCTTCAGCTGGACAGTAGAAGACTGGAGAACGCAGCTTGGTCTGAAGGATCTGGATTTGTGCTGAGGCAGCAGATGATAGGGTCAGAATTTGGTGTTAATAGCGTGAACCCATGGACCCAACCTGTCTTGTATCAACGGTCCCGGCTGCTGCTGGTGGTGTGATGGTGTGGAGAATGTTTCCTTGGTACACGTTGGGTCGCTTAGTACCAATCAATCAACATTTGAATACAACAGCCTGTCTGAGTATTGTTTCTGACCGTGTGCTTCACTTTATGGCCACAGTTTACCATCTTGTAATGGCTACTTCCTGCACCATGACACAAAGCAAAAATCATCTCAAACTGGTTTCATGAACATGACAGTGAGTTCAGTAGAATACCTTTGGGATGTGGTAGAGCAGGAGATCGGCAGCATGATGAAAAATCTGCAGAGCTGATGTGATGCAATCATGTCAACGTGGAGCAGAATCTCAAATCCATGCCACGAAGAGTTGAGGCTGTTTGAGGGCAAAGAGAGGCCCTGCCCACTATTAGTATGGTGTTCCTAATTAAGTGCTTGCTGAGTGCATTGTCCCAACAAAAAGACTTGTGTGTCAGATATTTTTTGCCTTCTCTCGCTGAGAAACATTTCTCCTGACGCTGACTCACAGAAGCACAGAGCACTGTTCTTTGCACAACTGTAAAAATACCAAGCAAAAGAGCAATGATGAATGATGAATGGATGTCAGGTGAAGTTGTCCTTGGCACCACCTTCCAGATCACCAGTTTACATCATGCAAGTTGTGAAGAATGGCAAGCTAGTCAAGCAAAGTCAGTTTTATTTATACAGCGCCAAATCATTACAGAAGTTTTTTTTAAGATTGGCTGGGATCATCAGTAGGTGACATTGTGCCATTTGTCTCTTGAAAGGTGCTTCTAATTACAGTTTTTTACTCAGTAATCTGACATTTTTTTTCACCCAGGTCACTGCAACAAGACTCATATAACTCATATAATAATCTGATCTGACACAGTGACCATATGGAAAGACAGAAAGATTAGGGCACAACCTGGTATATGGCTGGACCACGTATGGTCAATGTGAGAAACTGAGGTTGAAGTTGCATACCGTTATGGAACCAATGTAAACAGCTACTTTCAATGGAAATCATTACATCATTGCATCATATTTGCTTTCTGCCTAGTGTCAGCTGCTTTCAGGCCTTTATGTGTTTGCTTATCTCCTCCTCTCTGTGCTCACATATACAGTATTTCAATACAGCTGAATTCCCAATGAAGCTTTTCTCATTTACATGTTTTTCTGTTTCTGTTGTCAGACGACAGAACAAGTATTAAAGTAGTGACTGAAACGCAGCCCATTAAGACGCGGTAACCAGCAGTCACATCCAAACCATAAGCTGCTGCTAAAATCCTGATTTTATAACCCAACATGGTCCAACAAAATCACCAAACACTTAAGTGAAAGACAAAGACTGTGCTGTGATTTTGATTATATTTACTTGTAAACTGATCACATGGAGAGAGCTCATTCACGTCCACGTCAGCTGCCGTGCAGTCAGATGGATGAAACTAGGGTTGCCACCCTGGACCCAATACAGGATCGTCCCTTATTAGAAAATAAAAGGCTGCGTCCTTTATTGAATCAATACGGGACACAATTTGTTCCGTATTTTTGTACACGTCATGTCCTCAAAGTGCTGTGAATAATGTAATGTCAAGTAAAACCAAACCAGTTGGAGCCTGCAAGTGGAGTGGAGAAGTTTCTCAATGAGCAGTAGACTGACATGGTCTGTGTGCTGTGAAAAAATGCGTCAGACTGCAGTACAGTGCTACGGTTGTTTACCTGGTAGAGGCATGTCATTACAGCTTAGTCCTAACTGCAGCGGACTTGAGGCTGACCATTGGCATGTCATCCCCTCTCCCTGACTTTCCTCTCTAATACTAATAGTAAATCAACATTAAGTTACATTTTTTTTTCGTTACCCTTGATATTTATGTGCTTTTGGGTTATAAGCACATGAAAGAGTGTATATTGGCATTTTGAATTCTGTGTCCCTTATTTGTTCACCTAAAAATGTGGCAACCCTAGATGAGACGCATAGAGAGGTGTATCTGCAGAGGGAAAGCTGGACCTCATGCTAATGGGGCAATACAGGATACTATGGAAAATAGCTTTGGTTTGTCCAGAAAGTTGCTAGATTTGTTGCTAGGTGGGTCAAAGGCGCTGTTGGCACCGCCGGTAAACACCCACCCCATAGAAATTGTTTGTGCCAATTCATTTTGAAAGAGCAATGGCCAATGGCAAAACTCTAGCGTTCGGCCGGCCAACCAATGGTGTAACTTCATCATTCACTCAGCCAGTCAGTCATGGACATTTCTAAGGCTGGCCTTGCTGTTGTGGTTCAGCCAGAAATATACTGTACACTCATCCTGGTATTAGGTGCCTTCATTGCCAGATACCCCCCACCCCCCCACCCCCTTATCCGCCTGCAGCCAAGCCGAAGTCAGAGCAATGAGAGTATGTGTATGTCGGGCCCTTGCAGTAACTGCCATCTGTGAGGAGGGCCTACAGTATCC